TGATGTTGGATAAATCTTTGTTTAAACTGGAGTTTTTCAGGCTTTATTTTTGTATCTGAGACTCATGGGGTAAATTCATTAATTCCACTGTATATTTTTAGCTGCTCTAAAATGTGATCACTTCTGTATTTGGAGAAAAGAAATATGAATTAGTTAGAACTTTAGAGGGGAAATTACATTATAAAGATGCATTTGAATTGAGGATTTTTTTTCCCCTTTCTTTTGAATGATCTTCGAATCTAATCTTTAAACTCTTATGATATAGTATATGTAGTTTGGTTTGGGAAGTGGGTTCAATTTCTTGATCTCGAGACAAAAAAATAAAATCTATAGAGAAAATAATGTAAAATTAATTAGGATGGTCAAAGTTACAATTATATAAAATTTCTAAATCCTTCAAATCACCAGGTATCACAGGAAAAATATTACCTAAACCAATGATTGTACTCTTTCTACAAACCACAAAGTGAACAAGAAAAACTAGATGCTAGGCTCAAATTATTCCTCTAGAAAACCCTTAGTGAAGTTCCAAGAAAGGGAAAAAGAAGACATGAAATCATAATGAATGTATGCCAAAAGCTAGACCTAAAATTGCTTCAAAGTTTCTGGTGCCCAAGTTAATTATTTTACCAAATTCTTTGCCATTTTAGGCTGAAGATATTTTGGCATCTCCGGTATCAAATTCAATTTGGACGGAAAGTGTGCAAAAAATTGGAAGTTTGATCACATTAGTCCCTTTATTTAGGGGAGATTCACTCCGCCTATTTTGAAAGCCGTAGCAAGTTGCTTCCTATTTAGAAGGGGTCCACAGTCTATTTCTTTGGGTGAGGTTCATTCAATCGTTGTCGAAAGTAATGCAAGGTTTCCCATTTCGGCGAAGTTCACTCTGCATGTAAGATTATAGCTTAAATGAAATATTCAAATGAAATTGCGAAGTTCTAAGAGAATTGCGTAAGACGAGTCAAGCGAACTTATTAACTTTAGCAGTGAGTGCAGTAACAAACTAATTATGTTATATCGCATATTCACACACAACTCAATGAACTTGAAATATAATGACGAAGACTGCATAATACAAAAAACATATGCGAAGAAGAGGTCTATTCAATACAAGAAAATAAGTTAGAAAACTACAAGGCTAACCAACTCCAGAAGATTTTTGAAAGAAAGATCCTATTGGTTAGCCTAAGTAGTAGCCTTGTTTGTCAGAGTTGCAGAAGACAAAGTTTGGTGGGAGATGAAGAAATGACCGGAGCATCGCCAATCGCAAGAGGGGACTCAGAAGAGATAGATTCACGTGTATCGTCCTCATAAGCCTCAATAAAAATTTAGTTCCATTCTAAAAGAAAAGCTTTAATGATATCAAGAACTCCTCTCCCATTTTTGCAGGCGGTGGCTTCGCAAGCCTTTGATTCCGCCATGCTAGACTCTCCTACGACAACCCTCAATTCATAAGCTTCCATCTGACTGTGAAGTTCTGCAGTTTCCTCTTTAGAATCTTCCATATCACGAAGATTCGAACTGAGGTTCAGGATCAGAGTTAAAAGATTTCGAAGATCAGCAAGTGTTTGGTATCCCAAAGGACTCATTTGCTTTCCCTGAAAGATGAAGAAATATTAGGGAAAACCAAGAGAAACAAACAAGTAAAAAAAAAAAAAAAAGAAATATACTCCTGGTATTTTTAATAATAACATGGTGAAAAAACCGTCCGATGCATAACAATAAATATAGTAAGTTCTCTATGGATGATGATGACGACCTCACGCCATCATCCTTAAGCCTATCTAGCTTGGCGCTAATAGACCTATTTTGGGAGTCACTTTGGGATGACATTATGTGGAATTGACTTCCTGAGTATTTACAGAATAAAACTCAATGGAGCAAAATAAATGGTGAATGGAAGACAAAAATACGCATAAAAGAAGTAAAAAACACATGAAACACATACCTAGAAGATGATTCGGAAAGTTTTACGAGGAGAAGCTAAAAAGGTCGTTAGGAAACACTTTATAATCTGCTACACAATGGCCCAAGAAGAATCTTAAGCAAAGGGAAGGAAAAATACAAAGAAGGGAATTTTGAAAGAGTAAGGAACCACAACAAAACTAGGAATATTGTATATATTGAATTTGTAAATGGATTTCAGCATTGGGGCCTGTTAAGATTGATTGTGGCCACTCAGATGCAAGCTAATTCTAGCCATTAAATATAAAATGACACTCAAAATATTTCAAATGGATAAATCAGATCAAGTGTGTGCATCATGCACATTAAATAAACACAATACATGCACCTTGAAATGCAAATAGTCTCATTGATACACACAATAGCGACTGCAATCTTTGAAAGCTACAGCATTTAAAAAAATATATATACTTTACAAGTTCGCTACATAATATAAATAGTTTGATCTCGAATACAAACAACGAGGACACGAGATGTGTGAGTGCAAAATTACTGAACAAGCAAAAATCAGTATTGAAGCACACATGAATGTAAATATTAAACTTGTTAAAATGACTTTAATGTCAATAAGATTAAAATTACGGAGATCGTCGAAAATTATGATTATATTATCATTATAATTGTACGATATATAGATAGATTGCGTTTACCATATTTAGTTATGATTTTGGTTCTATATAATGAGATAACCTCTCACATAGAGGGACATCGAGTCTTATTGAATATTATTGTGTATATTTGACATGGTCTCATAGCCAGGTTAATTTCATTTTGAGTTAAACTTGCAAACTTTTGTTCTCCATTGAGCGGCACGTCCGGTCAAATTTTCTTGTTTCTGATTAGATATCATTGTCTATGTTAGTTTTATATTGGTAGTTTATATTGATAATAATTATCTGCCTCCCATTCATACTTTGAGAGTTGTGAAACTTCACGTACAAAATCAGATCCAGAAATTGGAACCACTAAACCAAACCGAGCAATCTTCACCGCTTCTATCATCCTCATCATCCCACTCATAATCACGTGATTTCCTCTCTACCCCTATCATCTTTTCTACTCCTATAAACATTCTCCTTGTTGTCATCCCCTTGGCCATGTTTCCCCCTCCTATCATCTCTTTCAAAATCCCCACCTAAATTCCTATCCTTATTTATATAATTTTCCTTCTTCTCCATTTTCTTCCCTCCCACCATTTCATGCTTTTCATCCTCAAAACTCTCTCTTCTTCTTTTCGATTCTCTTTCAACCTCTTTTTCACTATCTGTATCCCGCTCCTTTTCCCTCCTCTTCCTCATTTCTCTCTCTCTTTCTTTGCATTCAAACTTTCCTAATCCTAATCCCGATACCTATTTCCTCATTTTTTATCAGAATCTGAACTCCTGTCACTCGAATCACTGTGATACCTTTGAGCCATTGTTTCTTGTAAATAGAATACTAAAAACATGGGGCTGACCTGAAATGAGCCAAATTGGGTGAATCGACGAAGAGCAAAAACTGCAGTGAAGGTAGGAGACTTAGAGTTTGCACTTTGAACTTTTAAGGGAAATAATTTGAAGTGCAGTGGCTGAGGGTGGTGGAGCCAAGAGTTGAAGCTTCTCGCGGTGAGAGAGGAGCAGAAATTTGGTGTTCACTAGGGTTTTTTTTTGGGGCCCAGATTTAGGTAAAATTGAAGCAAATTCGAAGCTGTTATTTCACTTGGGCCGTGATATATAATTGATTGTTGTCGGGTTATAGATTGGTTGGTTTACTTATTGATTGGGCAGAGATAAAAACATTTATTTATTTTTTATTGGGCTTCAGTTCATTTGGTTGGGCCTGCAGCTTTGTTGGTTTGGGCTTGTTGATTTGTTGGATTACTTCAAAATTTAAGACTTATTGTTCGACACATATGGCTTTATCAAGATTAGGTGTTGATTGGGCTTTGACTAAATTTTCTTCCCTTTCTATGGTGCTTCGTGGGTATAGTCGTAGAATAATGGTATTTTTAAAAAAAAATTTAATTTGGGAGTGCAAACGGTTGGTTGCTCAGGTAATGAGCTAGAGTTTTGGTTTCTCGGAAGAGGATCATCATTGGTTGTTCTTGGTCTCTTGTCGTCACTAATTTTCGTAGATGATTGCTCTTATTTGGATTTCTACTTCGTGGGCACAAATATTGTCACTACCACAAGTTCATGATTGCATATTGATGCTTTTACCAGCATCAATTTAAGGGGAAATGTTAATGAGATTGAATAAGATTACGGAAATCGTCGAAAATTACGATTTTATTATCATTATAATTGTACCATAAATAGATAGATTACTTTTACCATGTTCAGTTATGATTTTGGTTCTATTTAATGAGATAACCTCTCACATAGAGGGGAATCGAGTCTTGTTGAATATTATTGTGTATATTTGACATTCAAAACCAACGAGAGAAGAACGAGTGGTATGGTGAATAAATTGAATTAAAAACTTGAGTGTATACTCCTTTCAAATAGCTATTTCCCTCCCATCTGTTATTTCGAGTAGAATTCAACAAGTTTGGTAGTGAAAATCCTAGGTAGGTCACACGAATTTGTTTATCACAATTTTGAGGTCAACATTCATAAGAACAAATTTTGGAAGCAAAATTGTGTACTGCATATTGGTTTGATGCCTTGTGACTTCTATCTGTTAACCATCTAAAAGAGATTAGTTCTGGCTTGTGGCCTTCTTGTAAACATATATGATTTGGCATTCCGGTTCGGCTGGTGTTGTCAATATATAATTGATGGAAATTATTCCTTCACCTTTGATATAACCCAAGTTTGAACTTGTATTTTTCGCGGATGATTTCAATTCTGCTTTTACCAGAGATTGTTTTTGTTGAGAGTTCTATTTGTCAAAGCGTATGCACTGCTTGAGGTCAAATATTATAGGCAACTTTGTTTGATNNNAGGCAACTTTGTTTGATTTAAATTTTCAATGCCGCTATTTTTCAACTTTCATTTCGCTGGAGCTTACCTGAATATTGTTAATGTAGATTAGCTGAAATAATCAAAGAAGATATGAGAGCTTCAACTGGACAGCCAGACAAGATATCTGGGTTTCCAACAGAGATTTTAGAACTGATTATTTCTCAGTTAACCATTAGAGATAATATCCGTGCTTTTGCTGTTTGTAGACGATGGCATGCTGTTGCGAATGCTGTCAGAAAGGTCAATAAACCTCCTTGGCTTATGATTTTTCCAAAATCTGGTGACCTGTATAAATTCTACGATCCTTGTCAGCGCAAAACTTATTGGCTTGAATTACCGGATCTACGCAGCTCTAGGCTTTGTTACGCTAAGGATGGCTGGTTGCTTCTGTATAAGCCCAGAACTCATCACTTGTTCTTTTTCTGTCCTTATACACAAGAAAAGATCAAATTACCTGGACGAGAATTAGGATCCCAAATTGTTGCTTTTTCAGCCGCTCCGACAACTCCCAGCTGTATTCTCTTTACAGTAGAGCGTGTGAGCTCAACTATTGTTACTATTAGCACTTGTCATCCTGGAGCAACTGAATGGACAAGTACTGATTATCAAAACCGTCTGCCATATGTGTGCAGCATGGTTTTCTGCAATGGTCTTTTTTATTGTTTGAGTATTACAGGTTTGTTGGGGGTTTATAACCCCAATGAATGTACTTGGGATGTTCATTCTGTTCCTCCACCGAGATGTCCTGAGGGATTTTGCTTCAGAAAATGGTGGAAAGGAAGATTTATGGCCGAGCTTAACGGGGATATTTTTGTTGTATACATTTGTTCTGCTTTAAACCCAGTGGTATATAAGTTAGACCAAACAAATAAAGAATGGACAGAGATGGAAACTTCAGAAGGCTCAACACTGTTTGCAAGTTTTTTGTCATCCCAAGCAAGGATGGATCTCAATGGAATGATGAAAAACAATGTTTATTTCCCTAAAGTTCTATATTATGGAAAACGATGCGTATATTACTCTCTTGAAAGTGGTAGATATCATCCCCGCCAGTGCTATGATTGGGCGGAACAAGATCCTCATGAGAGCATTTNAGAAATGACCGGAGCATCGCCAATTGCAAGAGGGGACTCAGAAGAGATAGATTCACGTGTATCATCTTCATAAGCCTCAATAAAAATTTAGTTCCATTCTAAAAAAAAAGCTTTAATGATATCAAGAACTCCTCTCTCATTTTTGCAGGCGGTGGCTTCACAAGCCTATGATTCCACCATGCTAGACTCTCCTACGACAACCCTGAATTCATATGCTTCCATCTGATTGCGAAGTTCTGCAGTTTCCTCCTTAGAGTCTTCCATATCACGAAGATTCTGACTGAGGTTCAGGATCAGAGTTAAAAGATTTTGAAGATCAGCGAGTGTTTGGTCTCCCAAAGGACTCATTTGCTTTCCCTGAATGATGAAGAAATATTAGGGAAAACCAAGAGAAACAAACAAGTTAAAAAAAAACAAATAAATAAAATATACTCATGGTATTTTCCATAATAACATGGTGAAAAAATCGTCCGATGCATAACAATAAATATGGTAAGTTCTCTGTGGATGATGATGATGACCTCACGCCATCATCCTTAAGCCTATCTAGCTTGGCGCTAATAGACCTATTTTGGGAGTCACATTGGGATGACATTATATGGAATTGACTTCCTGAGTATTTACAGAATAAAACTCAATGGAGCAAAATAAATGGTGAATGGAAGACAAAAATATGCATAAAAGAAGTAAAAAACACATGAAACACATACCTAGAAGAGGATTCGGGAAGTTTTACGAGGAGAAGCTAAAAAGGTCGTTAGAAAACACTTTATCATCTGCTACACAATGGCCCAAGAAGAAAGGGAAGGAAAAATACAAAGAAGGGAATTTTGAAAGAGTAAAGAACCACAACAAAACTAGGAATATTGTATTTATTGAATTTGTAAATGGATTTCAGCATTGGGGCCTGTTAAGATTGATTGTGGCCACTCAGATGCAAGCTAATTCTAGCCATTAAATATAAAATGACACACAAAATATTTCAAATGGATAAATCAGATCAAGTTTGTGCATCGTGAACATTAAATAAACACAATACATGCACCTTGAAATGCAAATAGTCTCATTGATACACACAATAGCGACTACAATCTTTGAAAGCTACAGCATTTAAATCAAAAATATACTTTACAAGTTCGCTACATAATATAAATAGTTTGATCTCGAATACAAACAACGAGGTCACGAGATTTGTGAGTGCAAAGTTACTGAACGAGCAAAAATCAGTATTGAAGCACACGTGAATATAAATATTAAACTTGTTAAAATGACTTTAATGTCAATGAGATTGAATAAGATTACGGAGATCGTCGAAGATTACGATTATATTATCATTATAATTGTATGATATATAGATAGATTGTTTTTACCATATTTAGTTATGATTTTGGTTCTATATAATGAGATAACCTCTCACATAGAGGGACATCGAGTCTTATTGAATATTATTTTGTATATTTGACATGGTCTCACAGCCAAGTTAATTTCATTTTGAGTTAAACTTGCAAACTTTTGTTCTCCAGTGAACGGCACGTCCGGTCAAATTTTCTTGTTTCTGATTAGATATCAATGTCTATATTAGTTTTATATTGGTAGTTTATATTGATAATAATTATCTGTCTCCCATTCATACTTTGAGGAGTTTGTGAAACTTCACGTACAAAATCAGATCCAGAAATTGGAACCACTAAACCAAACCGAGCAATCTTGACTGCTTCTATCATCCTCATCATCCCACTCATAATCACGTGATTTCCTCTCTACCGCTGTCATCTTTTCTACTCCTATAAACATTCTCCTTGTTGTCATCCCCTTGGCCATGTTTCCCCCTCCTATCATCTCTTTCGAAATCCCCACCTAAATTCCTATCCTTAATTATATAATTTTCCTTCTTCTCCATTTTCTTCCCTCCCACCATTTCATGCTTTTCATCCTCAAATCTCTTGCTTCTTCTTTTCGATTCTCTTTCAACCTCGTTTTCACTATCTGTATCCTGCTCCTTTTCCCTTCTCTTCCTCATTTCTCTCTCTCTTTCTCTGCATCCAAACTTTCGTGATCCTGATCCTGATCCGGATACCTATTTCCTCATTTTTTATCAGAATCTGAACTCCTGTCACTCGAATCACTGTGATACCTCTGAGCCATTGTTTCTTGTAAATAGAATACAAAAAACATGGGGTAGACCTGAAATGAGCCAAATTGGGTGAATCGACGAAGAGCAAAAACTGCAGTGAAGGTAGGAGACTTAGAGTTTGTACTTTGAACTTTTAAGGGAAATAATTTGAAGTGCAATGGCTGAGGGTGGTGGAGCCAAGAGGTGAAGCTTCTCGCGGTGAGAGAGGAGTAGAAATTTGGTGTTCACTAGGGTTTTTTTTTGGGGCCCAGATTTAGGTAAAATTGAAGCAAATTCGAAGCTGTTATTTCACTTGGGCCGTGATATATAATTGATTGTTGATGGGTTATGGATTGGTTGGTTTACTTATTGATTGGGCAGAGATAAAAACATTTATTTATTTTTTATTGGGCATAAGTTCATTTGGTTGGGCCTGCAGCTTTGTTGGTTTGTTGGATTACTTCAAAATTTAAGACTTATTGTTCGACACATACGACTTTATAAAGATTAGGTGTTGATTGGGCTTTGACAAAATTTTCTTCCCTTTTTGTGGTGCTTCGTGGGTATAGTCGTAGAATAATGGTATTTTTTTAATTTTTTTTAATTTGGGAGTGCAAACAGTTGGTTGCTCAAGTAATGAGCTAGAGTTTTGGTTTGTCGGAAGAGGATCATCATTGGTTTTTCTTTGTCTCTTGTCGTCACTAATTTTCGTAGATGATTGCTCTGATTTGGATTTCTACTTCCTGGGCACAAATATTTCACTACCACAAGTTCATGATTGCATATTGATGCTTTTACCAGCATCAATTTAAGGGAAGATGTCAATGAGATTGAATAAGATTACGGAGATTGTCGAAAATTACGATTTCATTATCATTATAATTGTACCATAAATAGATAGATT